CTACACTATTTTAAGAGCTGCCTCATCTCAATTTCTTCCCAACTGCTGGCCCACAGCAGCTGCATTTCATTCCTCATGCTCCTTGGTGCTCACTGAATAAAACATTAGAGCAAATGCACCATGGTCTGGGAATGTGAATCCCTTTATGGTTCTATTTGCACTTGGAGATGTCTCTCTGCATAAAATCAGTGGCTCATCCCAGAACTGTGTTAGCATTAGGAGGGACGAGATTTGGTGCCTTGGATCATTCAGGACATTCTGAGTTACTGTAGTACAAACCCATTTGAACCAGTAAAATAAGTAAATAAGAATAGTTACCTGTTCTTTCTACTAGTAATTTATCTGTATTCCATAGAATTCCCATTCCTCATCTATTAGCTGAAATTATTAATATAAGGTAACTTTAAACTAATTACTGCATTTCGCCTTGTAGCACCATGTTGGGCTGGGACTGTGAACATCCCTCAGGAGGCTCATGGCAGGATTTACTTAAGCTTCAGCATAAATTCAGTCACTTGGGATGCAGCAAAACCCACCCACTGTTGCTTCTCTGCTGTCACAGCAATTATTTATCAAGGGGCTAAATTTTGGCCCATTAAATATTTGCATTTTGGGAATGGATGGATTGGTTGTTTGCTTGGTTTTCCTCCTACTTTGTTTATAATGCTTACTTAGCCCTACTTGACATTCAGAGCAACAGAGAACAACTGCTGAATGCCCATGGAGTCATCTCCAGCTCCAAGGTTGTTTTTTCCCCACTCCGGATAAACTTAGACCTGAATATATGTGGGAAACCCTTTTTCCTCTGTATATATAAGTCAACAAACCTGGCTGAGGCTGTGAGGTGTTTTCAAGCATTCTTTAAACCAGTCTATCCCAGTTCCCCTGAAAGAATGTTTTTTCCCCACAGGAATTTCCCAGCAGGTGCATTTTGCCATGGACCAGAGCTGCAGAGTGATAGAGCATGAACAAAACTCCCCAAATCCCACTTGCTCACAGCATAAATTACATAGTTGAGCACCTAACAGTAGCATCTTCAGGTTCCAACTCCAAACTAGCTCCAACACCAGAAACTAAGGTTATCAGTAAGGGAATTTTGGGAATCAGGCATGATCTGAGATGAAATCTGGGATATTTTGATGCTGATTTATCTTTTCAGCTGCCTTAATCAGAGACATGTGGCAACAAGCAAGAAAACCAGGCTGCCACTTCAAACACTAAAAGCTGCTGTACAGGTTTCTCTTCTTAGGTTTGTTGATTTTTTTTCTGCTTGGAGGTGAAATTGCTGAAAATAATCTGAATATTGCCCAACGGCTTTGGAAGCTGAATTGTATTCATTGCACTCATAGCTGGCTCTAACAGTCCCATGGTCTCCAATTTCCACAACACAACTCAACACTTACATCCAAATTTGTAGACAAATGAGGACTAAGTTAAAATTGCATAAGTGCAAATTATCTCCTGTTCTGGAATTTTGGGAACTGACAAGCAAAAGAACTTGAGACACTTTAAATATCAGTAAATAATATCAGTAAATAAGTATCAGTAAAACCCATTGATGTTTAAACATGGGAGTGGAAGAACTGTTTAAAATCCAGGACTTTTAGCCTCAAAACTTTGTGCAGTGATTCCCTTTGGTTATTGCTCTGAGTAATTTGTGTGGCAAAACTGCTTGAGACCTCCAGAGGAGCTCTGGGCTATTCCTTATGCTTTACCCTAGGCCCAAATTAATGCAGATGTGGTTCCTTCACTAAGGTATCTGTGTCACAGTGGCACAGGGGAGTCTTGTGTCTCATTGCCTGGTTTAAAATAGCTTTTTTCCTTTTCCTCCTATGTTTTCCATCATAAATTATGCATCTACAATTGCATTATGCCAAGACACTCTTCCTGTTGCTGCATTTCTCCTGCTAACACAGTCTCTGGGTAGATTAAATGCAGTGGAAGTGTGTTAGTGGTGAGGACACAGACTGGAATTTACTGCTTGTCTTTTACTTATCTGAACCTTTGGTATTCATTAGGAGACCACAAAGCCTCTGCATTAAGGCAGCTTGGATATTCCAGGGTGTCTGAGTGCCTGGGGATGGAGTTATCCCCCTGCACCATGAACTGGAAGAAGCAAAGAAGCACAGAGTAGCTGCTAGGACTCTGTGATGGAGCTCAACAGGAACACAATCCCCAGGCTGGAGACAGTGTGACAAGGTCTTTGGTTAAATCACTCATCATTTTAACGACTTCATCCTTCATTCATGTATCCCTCCATGACAGTAGGTGACAGTGATGAGGCTGCAGCATGGTTGAATATCAGTAAAATCAACCTGGGGAATGTTTTTCCTGTCTTTGGCTGCTCCTCACACCAGCTCAGTATGGAGATATCCAAGTGTAGGTGCACCTCTGATAACCTCAGAGCCTTAAACACCTCTAGCAAGCTCTCCAACCTTGCAGCTTCTCCATGTGACGGTCAGGCTTAGCAGGTATTTACTCAAGGAAGGTATGAGTTTAACTAGCACAGGTGTAAACACCTTCATCCTTTAGAGCATGAGAGGGCCCTTATCCTTTTCCTTTCAACTGTAGAGGAAAGGGCTTAACCTCGTCATTGGAAAATGCTGTTCTTTTTTTCACACAAGGGCTAAATAGAGACACTTTTGGCTCCCAGTGAGTCACAGTTTGCCAGCTGTGCCATTTTTTATTGCAGGCTTTGCAATATTTACAAGGCTTTAAGGTCTCTCTTGAGGTCTGCCTTAAAATAAATGATCTGAAAGGAATCAGCTTCCATTCATGCCAGGAGAGAAACCAGTGATGCCCTTTCTCCACAGCATGAGCCCTGGCAAGTAAAGCTGTTCACAGCAAAGACAGGCACTGCTAGATTTAAAAGGGGAGTGATCTGCCCCTCAAGAGCATCTGCTTCTTGTTCTGGGAGATATGAGAAGATGGAAGTGAAGGAAACACACTGCTTTGGGAGAATTAGGAGAATAAAAGATGTATTAAGGAAGGTACTGATGGGTGGAGGACACAGAAGGGGGGGTGGGAAGAAAAGGGTGTGTGAGTGATAAGGCAAGTACAGAAAGCTTTCTGCATAAAAATGTGCCTTTTTTTCATGTAGTGAGTTTACAGATTCAGTCTTGTCACCAGCAAAGATGTTGTGTTTGTGGTGGTGTTGAGTGGTGAGGAGCAACTGGGGAATAGGTGTGAGGAGATCTGGAACCTGAGGGATCAGGGGAGAAATGCCAGGAAAGGAGCTAGCCCAGGTTGCTCCAAGCCCCATCCAGCCTGGTCTGGAACACTTCCAGGGATGAAGCAGAGACAGCTTCTCTAAGAACTGAGAGTGCCCAACTGATCCAGCTTCAATACCTGCAAGGAGCAGCTGCTGCAGCTAACACTGTTTTCCACTCCTCCAGGGCCTCCTGCTGATGGCACCAATGCATTATTTGTTTGAACTTTATTTCATGTACCAATTATATGTGCTATCAAACTTGACATGATGATCACCACATCATTGTTTAGCTCCAGCTCTTTCCACTGCAGCTGTAATCCAAATTCCTCTGTCATTCCAGGTCATCATCTCCAAACCACCAAGAGCTGAAGATGGATGTGAGGCGTGTCAAGGACTATATCTACTGGCTGTACTACCAGTACCTCCTGATCACCTGCAGCTATGTGCTGGAGCCTTGGGAGCAGTCCATGTTCCACACCATCACTGTGACTGTCTTTGCCATGGTGGTGTACACAGCTTATGTCTTCGTCCCCATCCACGTCCGCCTGGCGCTGGAGTTCTTCTCCCAGATATTTGGGGGTCAGCCTGAAAGCACAGTTTCCATCCTGAACTGAGCTTGCCTGAGCATGGATCAGCAAGCCCTGCAAGTTGGGAAATGTTGTGTGTTGACTCTGAAGCAGTTTGGCACGTAGGAAAGCCCTATTTTCTCTCCCACCTCACAGTTTGCTTCATCTCCAGAGCTGAGCAGCAGAGTGAGGAACCAAGTTCTGCCTGCACAGCTGCTCTTACATAGACACAGGTCACCTTCTACTGTCTGAGAGTGGAATGCCACTTTTACATAATATTCAACCAGCTCCCACTTGCAGCAGCCTAATTTAATCACACTGGCATATACCAAAGAGCAAAGACTGGTTAGGATGGCTGAGATGAGGGTACAACACTCAACATCCACAAAGCTCTGCCAGCACAGTGCAGGGGCAAAGCTCCCCATGGATTTTCTGACCCAGATTAGAGAAGATAAAGAAATAAGTATATACAGCATGATTTGAGTTCTAATATCTGACTGGTTATAGACTTTAATGGATTTTAATGAATGGGAGAGAGAATTAGAAGAGAAAGTAGTAGGGGTATGAACTTGACTGCCACTTTTGGCATCTAAGTTGCTGCATCTGAGTTCAGATGGTCTAAAATAGATATATCTAAAATAAATACGCCAGGTATTTGCAGTTTAGTGAAAATGCAGAAAGCAGCAGACCCAGCTCTGTTTCAGTCCTCTTCTGCCCAAAATCTTCTCTTTCTGCTCCCACTCTCACCAAGGCAAGCAAAGTGCATATCAACCCCAAGGGAAGATGCTTGAGAAAACAGAGTGTAAGTTACATTTTAACACCTGCAGGGAATTCTGGAGTGCTTAAAGAGCTCTTCTTTATAAAGAAAAATGAGATTTATTATCATTGCCTGTGGGGAGTTGCTGGAACAATGGAAGGTTTGTTTGGTTTTCACACTCCTAAATCAAACCTGAATGCCAGATCATAAATTATAGCCACACAGTGCACATCTCTAGCAGCTGATGCTACTGGTATTAGAAGTGAGGGGGCAAAATGTAAATAGCTTTCAAATGATGTTTGCACAGTTAGAGGGTTAACAAAACCCCTCTTAATTCTTTATCAAGCTGCAGTGAGCTCCTGCATGCTTAAAAGCACAAGTTAGTTTGGAAACGAAGACATGTTGTGAAGATTGAACAGATCTGAACATGTGAATGCAGTTTTTTCAGAAAAAAAATAAAGTTTTATTCTTCAGAAACATTGCAGTGCATGACTCAGCTCTTCTCTGCTGGCTGCTTGTTCAGAAATACCTTGAATGTGTGTGGGTCAGACATTGTGGCACACAGATGATAATGTAGTATAGTTTTGGGCGTGCTGGTGGCAGCAGCTCAGTGGGAGCCAACAGTGTGCACAGGGGGCCAAGAAGGCCAAGGGCATCTTGGCCTGGCTCAAGCACAGTGTGGCAGCAGGACTAGGGCAGTGATCATCCCCCTGGACTGGGCACTGGGGAGGTCACAGCTCAGTGCTGTGTTCAGCTTTGGGCCCCTCACTGCAAAAAGGCCATTGAGGCACTGGAGTGAGTCCAGCCAAGGGCAGTGAGGGCAGAAAAGGGCTAGAGCACATGGGGAAGGGCTGAGGGAGTTGGGCTTGGTTAGCCTGAAGAAGAGGCTCGGGCTGACCTCCTGGCTCTCCTCAACTTCCTGAGAGGGGCTTGGAGAGAAGTGGGGGATGGTGTCTCCTGCCATGGCTGCAGGAAGAGGACTAGAGAGAATGGCCCTGAGCTGAGACAGAGCAGATTCAGAGGAGATGTTAGGAGAAATGTTTTCCCTGTGAGGGTGGATCAGGCACTGGAATATTGCCCAGGGAGGTGGTGGAGTCACCATCCCTGAAGTGTTTAAGAGGTGTCTGGATCTGGTACTGGAGGATATGGTTTAGGGGTTCCAGCAGTGACAGGTTAATGGTTGGGCTTGATGATCTTTGAGGTCTCCTCCAACCTTGATGATTCTATGATTTTATTCTAAGCTGTTGCCAGTGCTATCCCACTTCTTCTGAGAGAAAAAAAAAGTGCTTCTGTTCACTGCTGTGTGCCAGAAATGATCTGAAGTCTCTTGCTGGAACTGATTTGGAATATTAAGTAGGTAGAGTCATTTCAGTAGCAAGAAGTGAAGAAAGTTGGAAAAATTTCAAAAGGCTTTTTAGC